AGGAAGTTCCGTCTGAACATGAGGAAGAACTTCTTCCCTCTGAGGGTGACGGAGCCCTGGCACAGGCTGCCCAGGGAGGTTGTGGAGTCTCCTTCTCTGGAGATATTCAAGACCCGCCTGCACAAGGTCCTGTGCAGCCTGCTGTAGGTGACCCTGCTTCGGCAGGAGGGTTTGCCTGGGTGACCCACAGAGGTCCCTTCCAACCCCAAACATTCTGTGATTCTGTGAAAAATAGTTCGTTGCCAGGAAAAATCCTCTGAAGCCTGTAATTGGGCTGTATAACTGCCAGTAACACAAATATAAATGAGAAGTTTTGTAATTTATTCCATTCCTGACTTGGTCATTTCTGTCATCTTGAAACTTTGTGTCCTCCACCCCCCTACCTTGGACCTCTTCTTTCTCCATCCAGTTGCAGTGGGGTATGCCTCACCTTCCCAAGTGCCCTTGCCATGGGGCACACATCCCCCTGAGCTCACTTGTCAAATTTTCAAAACGTGAAGGATTTTTCACTGCCTGTTCTTTCACAGAACAAGAAATGTCCAAGTCTCCTCCTTTAGGCTGAGAATTTCTTTGTAGTGTCTGATAGCAGAGGTGCACCTCCCTGATATTGCTGGTGGCAAAGCTTTTATCCCCAACCTCTGTCCTCATCCCTTCCTACAGCTTCCGTGTTTATGGTAGGGGGAATGTTTTGGCTAGAGCTCGGCTGGATTTCTTGTGCACCTACAAGAAACTCTTTTGAAATAAGAAAAATTAGGTACTTGGTCATCCTATGTGACCTTGGCATAAACTCAGAAATTGTGCCAGAAACCGCTTTAAACCGGTGTGAAGACCCTCCTTGAGACTCTGACAACTAAGCGAGGGGGATCTCTATTGCCAGATTTACCTGGATAAATGAACAGTGCCAAAATTACTCGATCCTGTATGCTCCCGCTTGGTTCTGCTCTTTCGATTTCTGGTACTGGTTTTTTCAGCTGGAAGCTTTCAAAGCGTAAACCAGTCGGTCGCCCGAAATTCCAGCCCAAAGCACGTCTGCACCTGTCGCTAAATGAACTGCTGAGGTTGGCCCTTACTGTATTCAGGTGGCCTTTGGCATTTGACTGCACTTGGATGTCAGGTCTTGGAAACTGTCCCCTTTGCTTGGAGCCACCGCGGTGGCTGGAGCTTTAGTTCTCTTGGGACGTGGATAAAAGGGGGCTGAACCAACTGCTC